TGCCTCTCCATCACCCACACACTTCAGAGGGCGAGCGAAGAAACCTCACCCCCACACTCCCGCCATCACCTCACCTCTTCCCGTCACCCACTTTTCCGTGTGCCCGAACGCTCCTTGGCGCAAAACCGAGCCAGGTGCACTCCCTCTCCGCACCGCCTCTCTCGTCCAATCGCATGAAATTCCTCCTCCCTCGGCCATCCCCTCGTTGTGGTCAACACGATTCAGCGCATCGTGGCTGGAATAGCGCAACACTTGACTCGAATGGGGGCAAAGGCACTCAACCGAAAGGAGCACCTCCCCCCTCGGTTTTATGTGTGCCATCTTCACCCGGGTCCGGCTCGTCTTCTCGATATCCCTCCAACCGCAACGGACGTCCCGAAGGACTTCAGCCGCGGTGATGCCCTGAGGTACTATCGCGGCTCGAGTTCACCTGGACTCGAATGCGGGTTTATACTACACTAGTCCACTATTGTCCCTGCTGAGCTAGGTCCCCGGGTGACTTATCAGCAACGAATAAAAATAATAAAAAAGTAGATACAACCCCATAAACGGGGAACGGGGGATTGCAGGCGCCTCGCCGGTCCCATACGTCTGCCCCGTTGTCACGCTCAACAGCAAAACCGAGGGGGATAGCCCGGTCGGGCCCTCAACCCCTCAGCTCCTTCTACGATGCTCTACACTCTAATACAGACTCCCCGTCTTTGAGGACAGTTTCTAAGAGCAGGAGACTTTGTTTTATTTTCAATAGGCTTTCGTTTTTTTCTAATCAATTGTTGAATTGTTGTCATAAGTGTCAAATCAAAAAAGTTGCAGCAGATCAGATAAGTTTAGATTTCTCATAACTCAAGTATGAATTGTCGAACCTCGTACCTCTGTCGTGCGAATCCAATACCGTAACCTATAGGGCTATGCCCCAACCTGGTACCAGCCCGTGCCAGATCCTATAAGAAGTGGTGTTACACAGCCCCCGTCCTGGGCGAAAATAGCCCGGCCCCCATTCCCTTTTCTAACTACGCATGTCGTTGCTAGGCACTCGCACTGGCTTGCCCTCTCTGGGCCGAGGTCGCCTCGCACCCCACTCCATACGTAGGACTACCAACGGTCACTTATCCCAAATAAGCGCACCTTTTTGCTCCTAATACTAAAATCAGGCCGGCCACCTTAGCCGGCCGTTTTAATCAAACTAGAAGGATCACATGCACGCCTTAATCCCACGCACCCACACCCGCTCTACTCTGATCTAACATCCTATTAGTGCAACACACCAACCTTAGCCGCGACTTGCGCGGTACATTTAGACTTTCGCCCTTACTTCCTGTCATATGCAAAAACTAGGGCGGATACCCTTGTCAGGGTATTTGCACCGACACCGTGCCACTTGCCTGGCCGTCTGGCTGCCTTTCGGTTGCTGCCCTTTGCCTCACTGCCTTTTCCCTCTCTGCCTTGTGCTGTCTGTCTGCCCACCCGCCTCCCCCATTCCAGCCAGTCTATGTGCCTTGCTGCTCCTCGTTGTCCAACGCCTTGCTGCTTGTGCTGCTGTTTGCCCGCTTACAACAGGGGTCAAAGAGTTTACGACTCAAGCATCGATACGGGAATTCTGCAGATTATCGCGGGTTCAGCCTCCGATGAGTCGGTGCAAGTCCGTCGAAACAGTCTGTCATTTTGTATTTTAGGTTTTTGACAACTTTTTGCATAATGCAAGGAAAATGAGCAATTGCGAATTCCAGAAACCAAGCAGCATCATACACATGAAACCAGGTAGTCGTGACCTCGAACCAAAAGCAGATTTGCAACACGAGTTCCACCAAATAAGAGCACAGCAAAAGCTCACAAGTGACAGTGCTGGAATAGTCTCATCCTCATCAACAATGAACCAATGTCGATTCCCTATCTGGCGCTCAGCGCCCAGACTACAAATGGCAGATCCTGTCTAGCCTATCTACAATGCCGCTGGTGACGTCAACAGCTTCCCGAAGCACGAGCAGATCTCGGCCAATGCCGTTCGCCTCAAACACCAGGTATGTCTCACGCATCACTCACAACCTCTATCCCCCACACAGATGCCACGTGCACCCAAGGACCACCATGCGCCTCATCCATTACCTCGCAGGCCAGCTCGGCTATGGCTGCCTGCGCGTAACCTGCTCGCCCGTGAGCGCGTGGGCGCTTGCCTGCCAGTAGCGCAGCAGCGCTTGCGCAGCATGTAGCAAGTGCCCGAATGCCGAATGCGGAGGCAGGCACTTTCCTATATGGAAGTGGCCTGCCTGCTGCGCTGGGCCCCTGCCCAGAAGCTTCCGGTAGGCCCCAAGTGGCTGAGCCCCAGTCCAAGGGAATCAGGCACAGGGCCTGGGGTGGTTACCTGTGTCCAACTGCCAGCACCCTGTGTGCAGTCCATGCCCCGTGTCTAGCTAGGGGCCTGCCTCAGATACATTTGGAAAAAGGCAGGCAGGGTCTGGGCTTTCTCAACCAACTGGCGCTGCGCAACTGCCTGAATTTCCCAGTTGCGTGGAAAGCCCGAAATAGGCCTCTCGTCCCCTGTCAGACCTGCCTTCACTTAGGGCGGCCGATATTGCTGAAAACAGGGTCCAGTAGGGCTCCCCGAGGCCTTGAGCCTCGCACATAATATTGTCCTGCATTCCTGCCTTACAAGGCCCCCATGGAGATGCTGCACACCAGCTTCGATCACCTCTTTCTTACCCGGGTGACGGTGGCCGCTCACAGCCTAGCAGTACTTCTCTAATACTATAAAGCAAGAAGCGGGTCTCGCGTGACGGACCCAACAGAAACCGGGCACCGCCACGCGGGACCGCTCCTGCACTTCAGTTTTTCCCAACCGGTGTGAGTCCACGACTTCAATTTTTTTGGGAACCGGTGACTTCAATTTTTTTGGGAACCGGTGTTTTCGGGAATGGGGAAGCGGCCGCGTCGGAAAGCAAAGCGAAACTTCGTTTTTTTGCGCTGCGTGTGGGCCCGCGGATCCATTTTCCGCCAGGCGCTTTTTTTTTGGGGCCACGGACCGGTAGCGTGGCGGGCCGGTTGGGTGGCAAGGGGGAACCGCCCGCGTCGGAAAGCAAAGCGAAACTTCTTTTTTTTTTCGCGGCTCGTGAGTCTGCCGCCACTTCTTTTTTTTCGCGACCCGTCGGGCGGGTGCAGGGGAGGGCCGCGTCGGCAGGAGGTAGGGGGAGACAGGAGAGAGAGAGAGAGAGAGAGAGAG